AAGATTTTAATAATTATTATTAATTTTATTACTATTATTAATTTTATTACTATTATTAATTTTATTACTATTATTAATTTTATTACTATTATTAATTTTATTACTATTATTAATTTTATTACTATTATTAATTTTATTACTATTAATAATTGTATTACTTTTATAAGGCAGTGGGAAAAAGCTTAGACCTGTTAAAACTCCTCACGTATTAGAAAATGTGTTCATCATCATCATCATCATCATCATCATCAGTCAGCAAGTCCTTTACAGAACGTTGCTCTCTTCACGGCACTACTGAAAGTATCCCTTTTCCCTAGCCAGCTCTACAATCCTATGTGCTTTCAGTGTTACAAATATTAATATATTGTTTACAACAAAATGTAGAACATCTTTATACAGAAATAAAACAGTCACATTTTAGTATATTTTTTTCCTTATCATTCACAGAAGTCGAAGATGTTCCAGATCCTAACGCAGAAGAGAAACATCAACCTGAAGATATAGAGGGCGAGAAAGACTACAAATGCAGCGATGCAGAATACGCTGAAATTTGCGACTCCAGACTTCCAAGATATACTGACATTTTTAAGGACAGCGTAGATGAAAAAGGGAGCCCATTCAACAAAGCTACAGCACCACCTATGTATTCTGCCGTGAACCCTAAGGAATATATTAACACTGAGATAACACCCACCGCTCCTGCAGATGATGTCATGGTTGTTTCAGGGGCAGAGCCAAACTTAAAGGGTGAGTTCGTTAGGGAGGTGAAACAGAAAAATCATAGTGGCTCTGTGTTTGAGAAAGAGAATAATGAAAGAGATGTGTTGTATTATAATGTTGGTGAAAAGATGGAAAAGAAAAGAAACTCTGGGGGTTTCGAAGAATGTGCAAGTACAACAAAAGTTGACAGAAGTAATATAAAAATGGATGTGAAAGGAGAGGCAAAAGTGTCAGGTAAAACTGCCAGCATAAGTCTTAGGAATAGTAATAGACAGAGCAAACAGAACAATCCTTCTTCACTGGAGATGATGGTTAAAAGTTCAAGTGCCTCGGAAACTATAGGAAAGATATCGGAGACAGCTTTGTCGAAACAAAAACGTCGCTCTGCTCCTCCTGGATCAATAGATGCATCATCAGTGGGTTATATGTACGGTCATCAAGGCTCTTTACGATCTGCTTCATCCTCGACTGTGATCCGATCTAGCTCAAATAATACATGTACGGTGATTCATGAGGCCGCGCCCTTGTCACAGAGAGACAGTGACAAACGTCAAAAGACGAAGAACTCCAGGGAAAATCTTCAACATAATTCCGTCCGCAAGACTAGCCAAGGAAGCAGTTTGTCACAAGTTGGACACAGCTTGAAAAAGAGCTCATCCCACAGTTTATCAATCAGAGATCTGAAGACTTCAAACAGAGCTGGTTCTCCGCCAAAAGACTTGGAAGATGACTCCGAACCTGCACCTGCCACAGAGAATGATTCTCTCCTTCGTTCGTCGTCATGCCATTCAGGCTGCGGAGACGGCAACGCTTTCACCGACTGCGAGCACTGCTCCAAGTACGACAGGATTAACCGGCAGCCTGATCCAGAAACTTGCAGCCTCCACATTTACCAGTGTCTAGACGAAGTCCGGAAAGAGTGCGAAGGACTCAGAGCTGCTTCTGCAGCTGCAGGACTGAAAACTCTGGGCCTAGAAACCAGTGTTATAAATAATGAATCTTCAGGATCTTCAAGCCAAACAATGAACTCAACGCGGCAACTACAGTGTTGAAGTGCTTAGATTATTATTCTGTTTCTCCCGAAGGTTATGAATCACTAAAATCTAGAGATGATTGCCTGAAAGCGCCATCAATGACAGCAAATCTGTGTTGGTTTTACAAGCACTTATTATTCAGCACCTACTGTTGAAGCCTTATTGTAGATGAATGGTCTTAGCTGAAGATCTTCATAAGAACTTTGGTGCATCTCTTCATTTGGAGTGCATTCTACAACTGCTTTCTGCTTTATTTAAACTTGACATAATATATAATGTGTTATATGGTTTTAATAGGTATTATGTGATATATGTTAGGTATTTCACGGAACCAAACACAAGCAAATATAGATAGTGAAGTCAGTAAAAGTTAACGACCCTTTTCCATGCCTTCAAGTCTATTGGGCATATAGGGCTAGACCTATGTTTTATAGACCTATCGGCACTTGGTGTGTGATGTGGCCAGCATCGCGTTGACCATCTTCCCTTGCCAGTACTTTACCTGATACGCACTTAAGACTGGGTCAACCAGGAGGCCAAGGTCATTTTTTTTACTCAAGTCTGGCTCCGCCAGGACTCGAACTCATGACCTTCCGATCCGCAGGCCAGCATCAAGCCGCTACACCACGACAGCTCTCCAAATTCAGAGGGTCTGAAGATGCTGGGAATGACCAGAAATAGACACACGTGAATTAGTTTGGCTGCGTTCAAATGCAATACACTCCTATTCTCAAGATAATAAGCTGGAGGGGAAAACTGCAGAAAGTGTAGCAAGGAATGGACAGCTATACAAATGACTCCTCAGAATGTTTAAGATCTAGTCAGCCAATCTATCTATACTGTCAAAATGGCACCTTTTTAATTTATTGTACTCTCCAAGAAAAAATAAGAAGTAACATTTTCAGACAGGAGTCTGTTCACCAACAGTGCTTAGGGATTGTTTTAGGTACACAAACTGTGGTTAAGTTTGATTACTGTGCATGATTTTCCTCAGCTTATATAGATCTGTGAAAGGAGGGATAGAGGAAGACAACAAGAGAAGATTCCTAACGGTCTTGTTGCAAGGCATTGAGGTGTGTCGGCAAACGAACTGATACATGCTGAAAGAGATCGCGGATTGTGGAGAGACATGATCACCCAAGCCGGTCGGCATGGCACCTGATGATGTTGATATAGACATTTAATTGATAATTACAACAACAACAACAACAACAACAACAACAACAACAGCAATAAGGACAACAAAAATCAGTGAAGCAAGATAACATTATTGGTGCCTGCCCAAAATAGAAAGAATTAAATGGTGTGACAGGATCACAAATGTAGATCATTGAGAGAGAGCTAAACAGGTTCCAGTGGACCAAGAGATGAAGAAAAGACGTTGGTGTTGGATAGGACAAATGTAGAGAAAATATGAGAACAGTATAGCTAAAACGTCTTTGCAGCGGAACCAGCTCGGGCATAGAAAGAAAGGAAGACTACAAAAACACAGTGAAGGGAGCTAGAGAAGTGGAGTTAATAAGAACGATGAGAGGTGCATGCGATAGCGAACGATAGAAGGGCTTGGCGTGAGTTGGCTGGGGGCCTATGCTACACTGGGGGTTAGAAAGGCAGAAGAAGAAGAAGAAGAAGAAGAAGAAGAAGAAGAAGAAGAAGAAGAAGAAGAAGAAGAAGAAGAAGAAGAAGAAGAAGAAGAAGAAGAAGAAGAAATAACCTGCTCGATGGCTCAGTCCAGACACACAAATAAATATGTAACAAATATGCAACAGATTCAACAATAAACAATAAGTCACTGCAAAATCCTCAAACATGCATACACAGTAAAATGTACAAGGCGACCACTAGAGGTGTCAACACCATCATTCGCCACCAGAATAAACATCATCAATCAACAGGTTCTGTACGGAACATAGCTCTATTTCTCTAGCCAGTTTTCCATCCCTATATGCTTTCATATCCAACGCCTCTTCATTGTCTTGAATTCACATTTGATGGGATCTGCCTCGGCTTCGTTTTCCAGAAACTGCACCTTCCATCCCCATAACATGGCCAGGAAAGCACAGCTTTCGGAACCGAATGCTGTTTATGAGCCGATTCTCCTTCATGCGCAAACCGTGTAGGATGTCAGTGTTTTTGAATGATGTATCCCCAGAAACTCTAAACTAGCAACAATATATTTGTACTGCTGTAACATTGACATAGACTCTGTTTTCAGAAGACAGGAGGTAAAGAGTCACAACACAGATAAAATGTTTACGTACTATGCTAGGTGTAACGAGGAAAGATCGACGTAGGAACGATGATATCAGGAGGAGAGTCGGTACAGAACCAACAATGAACTTGGTTTTAAATGGTTTGGCCATGTAACAAGACTGGTATCAGACCGGGCACCACAGAGAGCAATCTTATACAGATAGTATAATCTACATCAGGAAACGAATCTCTATGATTCACTTCCAACCGCACAGCTTTAAAATGTGGTTCCTAAACAGCTTGAACTCCAGATAAACATGAAATCAAGCAACCTTGATGGCTTAAACACTGTTCTTGATTACAATATTTATTTTATGATGTATTTCCTATCAAATAACAAATATTTTGTAGCACCGTATGACTTTCATTCCAGACTTGAACCAAGAAAAACAGAAGTAGTCTGGAACTACTACTACTATAAACTTAACAATAAAACACAGCTGTCTTAATTATGTATAATATGTATTAAAATGCTCAATACGAATGTTATAATGTACTTGATTATCACAAATAACATGTCACAATTATTATTTCTTTCATTTAAGTATTCTTGATTTAATGATGTATAGAAACAGGTACACAAATTGTTAATTTTCCTAAGAAACACTGGTGTTCATGGTAATTATAATGCATTTAATTTGTGTGTAAATATGTTAATCTGTAAAGAAAATATATGCTGTTTATATCTAAACTATATGTGCTATTTAGCATCCAGCCTGCGCGTCTACGGGACTCAACCCCTTGTAGGCTGTGGCACGGTTAGGGTGAGGTTAGATCCAATGTAAATCAAGTTAACTTAGCTAAAGTTATCTTGATACAGCCGAAATATTTATGCCTTTCCTAGCCTGCGTGATATCAGTCGAAACTGACAGTTACACAGGCCGGATTTTATTGTACATATTAGAAAAGGATTTGCTGTTATTTACGTCAAACTGTTACTGTTATATACAGCCATGTAAAATTGTTACATTTCATTTAATCGCTCTGTGGTATATATGATAAATTAACCATATAATCATAACAGATCTAAGACTATTCATACCAACCATTCAAAGTTTTACATGATTGCTTCCGCGAAGTAACCAGACTTGGATTAAATGTTTTATTTCATCCCTGTCATTTATGTTCCTGAGTGTATCCCTTATATGTCTTTCTGTGTGCCTGTCGGCCTACCTTCCTATGTCTTTCTGTCTGCCTGTCGACCTGCCTTCCTATTTGTCTTTCTGTCTGCCTGTCGACCTGCTTTTCTTTATGTCTTTCTACTTGACTACAAATCTTTCCGTGTTTGTGTCTGAATATATATATGTAAATTTATCTTTGTCCCTCTCCCCCTCTCTCTCTCTCTTTTTACTCTGAAGCTATGTCAGCCTGTATCTCTATCTGCCTCTCGGATCCTCAATGACTGTATATGCCTCTCTGTCTATTTTTTTTTACCTCTGTCTGACTCTACACACACACACACACAGACACACACACACACATACACACACACATATATATATATATATATATATATATATATATATATATATATATATATGTTTACAAATATATTTGTATATTGCTCCTTTCTCTATCTCTGTTTCTCTACATATGCCTCTGTCTTTGTATTTTTGTATCTCTGTATAATTCTCTCTGTCTCGTCCGTGCCCTCTGAATCCCCCCCCCCCCCATCTCTCTCTTTCTCTCTCCCCCCTCACCTTTTCCCTCTCTGCCTGTGTGAAGGATGAATGTTAGGAACGGCGGAATATAAGACTTGCCTGAAGGCCTAATTTGTGATTCTTTAAAAAAAAAGTTTGTTTGTTCGATCATTTATTTTGCACGTGTGTTTGTATGTGTGTGCATCTCTTTCTCTCCCCCCCCCCCCTTTCCTCATCCTTGAATGTATGTGAACATAATCATTATTCATATATACCATAATTGTTACTACAAAAATAAACGATATCAAATAAACACAATATTATTATAAATTGACTTCTAACAGTGTTTTTATTTGGTTTTGTTTCGGTGGTGGCCATTATTCTTCGTATGTTGATAACATCATCATCATGTAGTAAGTCCTTTGCAGAACGTCGCTCTCATAACGGTCTGCTGAAAGAAATTTCGTCTCTAAGCAAATCGCCCTCCTGGTGTACTTTTCTACCCAGGGTGTCCCTTACATCTGTGCCCATCTTCGTGGGGACCGACCTCTACCCTTCTGTCATGGTACCGAGTCTTCTGCTACAATTCTTCCCAATCCGCCTTGATGGGACCAACACATTTCAGTTTCCAAGACAAGGTATTCTTCCTTGACGTTCTGTTGACGTTCTGTTGATGTTCTTGATGTTCTGTTGATGTTCTTGATGTTCTGTTGATGTTCTTGATGTTAAATCCGTTGTAACTATTTTGCTGAATCGAGGGTGAGCCCTGTGAAGGTCAGTGTTGTGTGGTACTCCTCAAACAACAGCGTTAGAAAGGAAGAACTACCTTGCTTTTGCATGAAGGGTATAAATGTCGAAAGAAATAACAGGTTAAAATACTTGGGCGGGAGTCGCCATGGCCGAGCGGCTAGACGCTCGCCGCGGATCGGAAGGTCGTGGGTTCTCTCCCTGGCGGGGCCGGACTTTTTTCAAAAATATCCTTTGCTCCCAGGTCGACCCAGCCTTGAGTGGGTACTGGGTCAGTTCCGGGAAGTAATGGCGGCCGCGTGATGCTGACTACATCACTCATCTTGTGCCGTTTGGTCTATAAAATATAGGTCTAGCCCTATATGCCTAAAAGCGGAT